GATGCTGCCTGGCCTGCTGTGTTCCTCCAGCTCCGCACTTTGTTATCTCTGAATGTTAAAGGTGATGGGTTGCTTTGTTCTGGAAGATATCAATCTTTTTGAATGTTGTTGTACTTGCACTCAACCAGCAAGTGGAGAGTATTCCATCACACTGCTGGTTTGTGCCTTTTGTAGATGGTGGTCAGCTCTGGGGAGTCAGGAGGGTGAGTTACTCACTGCAGGATTCCTAGCTTCTGACCTACCTTTGTCACCACAGTATTTAAATAACTAGTCCAGTTCAGTTTCTTTTCAGTTGTGACTCCTTGGTTGTTGTTAATGGGGGATTGGTAATGCTATCGAAGGTTGGAAATGATTATTGCTTGGCACCTATGTGGCATGAATGTTACTTTCTATTTGTCATTCCAAGCCTGGATATTGTCTTACTGCAAATGAATATGGGCAGTACTGGCATGTTACAAGTTGTGAATGTTGCTAAACATTGTATAGTCATCAGTGAGCATCCCCAATACTAATCTCATGTTGGAGGAGGGTCATTGTGAAGCAGTTGAAGATGGGTGGACAAACAAATGAAGTTGAGCCCTCAATCTGGTCAGACTCAGAGGGCTGAATGGCCTCTTCATGCCTTTACATCATAGGTTCGTAAAGCAAACAATCATGTCTCTTCATTGAAAGACATTTTAAGGCTGTTCACCTTTAGCTAGAAACTGTTGATTCAACAGTTTCTGCATTTTAAGGCTGCATTTGTACATACACCTTTTCATTGGAACTTATGAACACAGGAGCAAAAGTAGGCCATTCGGCCCCTTCAGCCTGCTCCACCATTCCAGACATGACTGATCATCTTCCTCAACATCCAAATTCCTGCTATCCCTTAACCCTTGATAACTTCAGTATCTAGATATCTGTCGACCTCTATCTTGAACATATTCGGTGAATGAGTTCCACGTCCCTTTTTGAATGAGAGAATTTCAGGGATTCACTATCCTCTGTGTGAAACATTATTCCTCCCACCATCGGTCCTAAATGCTTGCCTCTCATTCTAAGACCATACCCTTGGGTTTTGGACCCCTCGGGAATATTCTTTCTGCATCCACCCTTTAAAGAAGTTTGTAAGTTGTGGTGAGATGACCTTGCGTTTTTTTTCTAACTCGGCAGAGCAGAGGCCAGTTTTCCCATTCTTTCTGATCTTGCTATAAGGCAGTCCTGCCATCCCAGGGATTAGTCTGGTGAACATTTGCTGTAGTCCCTTTAATGGCAGGTGTGTCCTTGCTTAGGCAAGGAATCTACACCTCCACACAATCACTCCAGGGGCAATCTGATGCAAGGTGCAATTTAATTGTAGTGAGGCATCTTCGCTCATAGATTCAAATTGTCTTGTGATAAAGGCAAGTATACCATTTCATAAATTAAGAATGTCACAAAGTGCTTTTTCAGCTAATTAATTACCTTTTTAAGTATTGCCACTTCTTTTAATGTTGGAGACACACCTACAAGATCCCACAAATAGTGGCACATTCAAAACATTAAAGTTGAATGCTCTGAATCTGCTGTTTTGGATTCTGATAAACATGTACTACCACAAACGTAAGCAGAAATTGCTGGAGAAGCTCAGAAGGTCTGGTAACATCAGAATTAACGTTTCGGGTCACTGGACCCTTCCTCAAAATTATTGGTAGTGAGGTTTATATGCAGAAGATAGGGTGGGGGAAGGGGCTAAAGTGTAAACAATGGGTGCGATAAAGACTATATAATTAGAACCAAGCTAACGTCCTTAACTACCAGGCACTTGATTGGCCCAGGTTAACAACCCCAATCAGGAAAGCCTTGGCTGACCAATATAAGCAGGAGATTAGAATCTCCTCAGTTGAGGGCTGACTCCGAGATGGTTGACCACAGCCAATGTGTTGTGCACTCGTAAATAAACGGTGACTTGGTGATGGAACCTGGCCTTCGTGCAGTTATTTCAGAGCCCATAGAGAGAGAAGAGCAGTTAGACAGACAATGGAGTGGATAACCAGTCTACACTTCACAGCTTCGCAGAACACCTATGTTCTCTCCTCAAAAATGACCCTGAGCTTTCCATTGCCTGCCAGTTCATCACACTGCCCTGTTCCCTGGCCGACATCTCTGTCTCAGGCTTGCTGCAGTGCTCCAGCGAAGCGCAGCGCAAGCTGGAAGAACAGTACCTCATTTTCCACTTGGGAACCCTGCAGCCTTCTGGTCTCAATATTGAGTTCAATGACTTTAGGGCCTGAGCTCTCCCAAGCCCTTACCCCTGCCCCCACACACCAGACCTTATTATCACATAGTCTATTACACAGAACCCATTGTTAGCTGCTAACAGCCCCCCAGTCACACAACACCAAATTTATAGTCAAACAGGTTTATTTGAAATCACAAACTTTTGGAGTGCTGCATCTCCATCAGGTGAAGTGAAGGGAAGCGCACAGGCACAGGATTTAATAGGCGGAGAGATCATTGCAAGATAATTCCAGGTAATTAGGAATGTCAAAAGATAGTACAAATGGTGTAAGTAGCGTGTCAACGGACTGAATAACAAGTCTTTGCGGTGATCAGAAGTGTCAAACGGTGTGAGTAAAGTGTCAACAGCTGAACAGCAAGTGAAGGGATAACCTATGATCCTATTTATTAAGGGAGAAAGATAATTACGAAAAATTAAAGACAAGATGGTGCTAGAGACAAACCAAACAGCTAGAATAACATGATATAGGGTCTAACCAAAGTAACAAGTAATCCAAAACGGTACAAACTAAGGTAAAAAGATCATAACAAGTTATCAAGGTGATGATGTCAAAACAGAACAGTAAGGAAGATTTTGCGAACACAGAACAGTGTGGTGGGGTTACATGAAGTGCCACTGTGCTTCTCTCCACTTCACCTGATGAAGGAGCAGCACTTTGAAAGCTTGCGTTTTCAAACAAACCTGTTGGACAATAACCTGGTGTCATGTCACTTCTGACTTTGTCCACCCCTGTCCAACACCGGCACCTCCACATCATAGTCCGCATTAATAGCTGTGTATCCTCTTAGCCAGATCTTTATCCACTACTTTGTCTGTCCAACTGCTCTTTCCTCTCTTTGGGCTCTATCCCCACCTATCATTCACTCCTTACTCCCCCCATCCAACCCTACCTTATGCTGATAAAATGCTACTTTCATAACTACCGTAAGCCCTGAGGGAGGGTCACTGGACCCAAAACGTTAACTCTGATTTCTTTCCACAGATGCTGTCAGGCCTGCTGAGCTTTTCCAGCAACTTCTGTTTTTGTTCCTGATTTGCAACGTCTGAAATTTTTTACAGTTTTTACACAAAATGTACTAATTGTGAGTCAGTGAACGACACCAAGCACATGACAAGAACTCGATTGGGTTCGATTATAATTTCCCATGCTTGTTGGTCATTTTTCTTAAAATTTGAAAGGTTGCAAGTTTGAAACAAAAACTGAAAATGCCAGTAATATGTGAATTTTATCTATAGCCTGCCTGACCATAGAATATGTTTCTCTTTCAATTCTGACAAAGGATTTTCTCCCACTTCCAGCTACATTCCAAGGTGATGTTTTTTCTTTTTTTTTTACCTCTTTCTCTCTCTCCAGCACATTGGCTTTTTCTTTGTACCGGTTATCTGCTGTTACATTTTATCTTTTGTTAAGCCAATCATATTCAGTTTTGGGACAGGTTCAGGGATTCACAGAAAGAGGGCTTTTGTAATTTTCCAAATTTGACCATTGGTTCTTGTAAAGAACACTTGATCATGACTGAAATTTCAGAGAAAGATGGAAAAATGTGAGGTTTTACTTTAAGACTATGGCTTAAATCTTCTTTTACTTGAGATTTCGCTGTTGAAAACTACTTCTGTTGACACAGTAGTCAGACTTGCATTTATCTGGTGCCTTTCACTTCCACATTTTTGTCCTAGACAATGTTCTTAAGTCTCTGGAGTGGAACTTGAGCCCATGACTTCCTGTCTGTGCTGTGATTCCCTCAACCAGAGTGAGTGTCTTGTTGTAGAATTAAATAATCACAGACAATCCAGAGCGAAGATTTTTTTTCCTTGCCAAATACCTGATAAAATTTCTCACCTGTTTGAGAGTTGCGCTACACTGAGATTTCCCTCCAATGATCAAGTAGTAATAATCGTGATCATCTTGAAGGTACCAAAACAGAGTGCAGTGATACTGATCTGGTTAAAATGATTAGTTTATGTGCACATCCTTGAGCTATGGTTTGTGTTTAGTTAATGGTCTCTGGTATATTGTTCTCAAACTATCTTAAAATGCAAAGAAGCACCCAGTGAGCCCATGAACATTTGGTCCCTCCCCCCGCCCCACCATTCTATAAGATTGTGGATGATGTGTTTGTGTTCCAAATTCCTCATTGCCATCTACCCCCAATAACCTTTTGATTCCCCTGCCTAACAAGAATCTTATCTACCTCTGCCTAACGAGAACCTTATCTACCTCTGCCTTTACAAATATTTAATGACCTCATCACCACTTCCTTCTGCGGCACAGAGCAGAAACAAAAACTCTTCTCTGTCCCAAACTGGTGACCCCTAATTTTAAAACAGTGTCCCCCCCCCCCCCCGTCATTCTGCTTCCCCTCCGCACCCCCCAACAAGAGAAGCAGCCTTTCCATGCCTAACTTGTCAAGATCATTCAACATCACTTACACTTCAGTCACTCTTCTGAACTCCATTGGAAAGAAGCCCAGCCTGCCCTATCTATACAACAGACTCCTCTTTCCAGTTATCAAAAAGTAAATCACCAGTGAACTAGCTGTGATGTACTTACATCATCAGATGATCAGCATTGCAACCAGTATTTGAGATATGGTCTTACCCATGCTGCCCTGATTATTTGCTACACCTGTGCGCAATCTTTTTTGTGACTCATTCACTAAAACAGCTAAATCCCTCTGTGCCTTGGAATTTCATGGTTATTCTCTGTTCAAATAATACTATACTTTTACATTCTTCCTGTCAAAGTAAACCAATTCGTGTGTTCCCACAGTAAACTCCATGTGCCAGAATTTTTACCCATCTCTCAACTTATTTCTGTCCATGACACATCTTCCCAGGATGGCAGGACTGACATATGAGGAAAGACTGGATCGACTGTCTTGTACTCGCTGCAATTTAGAAGAATGATGGGGGATCTCATAGAAACATACAAAATCCTGATGGGACTGGACAGGCTAGAAGCAGGAAGAATGTTCCCAATGTTGGGGAAGTCCAGAATTAGGGGTCACAGGCTAAGAATAAAGGGTAAGCCATTCAGTACTGAGATGAGGAGGAATTCCTTCAGTCAGAGTTGTGAACCTGTGGAATTCTCTCCCACAGGAAGCTGTTGAGCCCAGTTCATTAGATACATTCAAGAGGGAGCTGGATGGGTCTCTTGCAGCTAAAGGGATCCGGGGTATGGGGAGATATAAATTATCAAAAGCTGAGACCCAGCACACACTCTTGCGGGACTACACTTATCACATCTTACCAACCAGGCAAAGACCCATTTATACATGTTGTCTGTTTAATGCCAGCCAGTCAATCTTCTGATCATGCTATGCTAATACACTGCTTGCTATACCAGAGGATATGGTACTTCTGGAAATCCAAGTGTTGAACATCCACAGGCTCTCCTTTACCCACAGCATATGTTACTTCTTCAAAGATGTTTACTAAATTGCTTCAGTATAGTTTCCATTTCACAAAGCTCTGCTGATGGTTCCTGATTATGTTGAACTTCTCTAAGTGCTTAGCTATAACTTGTTCAGTGGATTCACTTGGATGTGGAAAATCTTCCCAGCGAGATCTAGCAGTGTAGGAATAACCTGTCTCAACGTGAAGTGATGTTCACTGCATGTATAATCACAGGACCACAAAGTTATCATAGTGCAGAAGGAGGCTATTCAACCCATCTTGCCTGCATCAGCTCTTCAAACTAATATCATTACGTAATGCCAGACACCCTTCTCTTTCCATCCATAGCCCTGCACATTTTTGTTTCTATCCAAACAATCATCAAGTGGTCTCTGGAATGCCTCAATTGAACTGAGGCACGATCCCACAAATTCAAAAGAAGAAAATCCACCTCCAATAAAAGCAAAATATAGTGGACGCTGGAAATGTGAAATAAACGTAGAAAGTGCTGATGAAATCAGGTAGGTCTGGCAGCATCTGTGGAGAGAGAGAAGCAGAGTTACTGTTTTGGGTCCAGTATGACTCTCTCTCTTGTTGAAGAGTTTGGCTCTTTTCTCCTACTGTGGTTCACCAGACAAATCATATTGGACAGGAAATATTAGCCCTTCATCTCTGACTACAGACACTGCCAGACTTGCCGAGTTTCTCCAATGCCTACTGTTTTCATTTTAGAAAAATAAAACACCTACTTGACTGAGGTTTTTGATGTGCCAAATATTCCTCTGTGCCTGTGGGATCAAACGTTTCTTTCGGCGATACTGGACTAAATGTCTGAGCAAATGTTCTTTTATATCCTCATGACATCCTTAAGTCAATTTGTGGTGTTCAGCATTTTCTTTAACCAGAAGTTGAGTATTGAAATGAAGCACAGTCATTCAGTCCAGCGTTGTGACCAAACATGACAGCAAGACACAACAGGATATGAGTGATTTAAAGATCCCTGAATTTAAAGATTTTTGCAGTGCCTTTGTTGTGGGCTGCTTGCTTCTGCTCCTCAGTTTTAAACTCTTTGTATTGAAAAATCCCATTTGTACTTTACTTACTTTGTGCCATGTAGTGATTGGAACAAAGTCAGCCAAGTAGACCTCGTGCAATGAGTTCCCTGATTGGGGCTGCTGATCTGGTCCAATCAGGGAGTCTTGGCTGACAGATATACATAGGAGTCTCAGGGGTTCTGCTCACTTTAGGAGCCGGTCCGAGCTAGTTGGGGAGGCAATGGTGGTATAATCGCTGGACTGTTAATCCAGAGAACCCAGATAATGTTCTGGGGACCCAGGTTCGAATTCCACCACAGCAGATGGTGGAATTTGAATTCAATAAAAATATCTAGAATTAAGAATCTAATGATGACTGTGAATCCATTGTTGATTGTTGGAAAAACCCATCTGGTTCACTAATGTCCTTCAGGGAAGGAAACTGCCATCCTTACCTGGTCGAGCCTACATCTGACTGCAGACCCACAGCAATGTGGTTGACTCTGAACTACCCTCTGGGCAAAGAATACTGCCTAGCCAGTGACACCCTCATCCCATGAATGAATAAAGAAAAAAGAAGTGTCACGAACTATGTACATGTAAGTGAAAGGTGACTTGGTGATGTGATACCAGCCTTTGTGGAGTTATTTCATGCCAGAGTTAAATTTATGCATCAATCTGTGCCACGTTAGTTGGCTGTCTGTTAGAGTTCTTGTCTTCAAAGCACTATATAGTCAAGGGGAATGTGGTGGAAACAAGGTTCTTGAGATCAGAACTGAGAGGATATAATTAATAGGAAAGATGATAGAGGTGCAGCTCTATTCTTTAGAAAAGATAAAAGCCGAGCAGTAACATATTAGCGGCTTTATGAAAATAGAAAAGAATGCTGCCTTTATTGCACCGATCTAAATTATACTTAAGTTGGGTTGGGGTTAATCAATATGATTTAAAGCAAACCAAACCTCAAATATACAGGAGTTGGCCCACTTTTATTGCCTATAATGGAATTGTAGAAAACTAGTCTGAATTCATGAGATAACAAGGTGTAGAGCTGGATGAACACAGCAGGCCAAGCAGCATCAGAGGAGCAGGAAGGCTGACGTTTCGGGCCTAGACCCTTCTTCAGAAAGAAGCACCCACGGATGACAATTTTCTGCCTACGGAACTAGTCTGAATTCATGTCCTGTTTATCATTTGCTTGGACTGGAGCCCATGTGTTTCTGGTTGTTTGACCCCACCCAGCTCCTACCCAAGAATTTGACACACCCTCTTCAGGAAGTAGAGCTATTGGAGGTTGGCGTACGTGAGAAATGGATTGTGCAGAGAAAGGGGAGGGTCACCATTCGTGGAGAGTGATTGAGATATCAGAGTGAGCTGGCACACTGATGAGGGTGAACGTGAGACTTACCTGTTAAACAAGGGCATGAGGTGGTTTGTTTGGACATAGAGGAATGAGTGAGTTCCCCTGCAAGGTGCGTTGGTCAGAGGAATGCTTGAAAAGGAAGCATGTATGGAAAGGAAGTCATTGTGCGGCATTTGACATGTGAAACGGTGGAAATGTTTTGCTACTCGCATTTCCTGCCATCCTGAGCCTCTTGCCTCTTCCTGATGCACTGTCTCCCGGTTTGAGTAAACCGTACTCCTGCAGCTGACTTCCTCAGGTGTTTGCTTGGAGATATAGACCTCAAATTTCCTAATAATGCAACGAAATACCTCGCTGCACTCCCTCAGCCCCTCTGGCTGAGGTAAGATTCCAAGACCCTGGGATTTGCTTTCCCAGGTCTCCTTTCCGATTGTCTGCTTGCTGAAGGCACAGGGCTCCATCAGAATTTCCCAGCAGAGGGTCACATATGCATTGATGTAGACGCTGAAGGTGATCAGAGCTTACTAGAGGTAAAATGGAAGACTCTGAACACAGGGACAGTTTGCATTTCTGATAAATACCACAGGTCAAAGAAATACCCATAAAATCTAGTTTACATGGGAAAGTAAACTCCGATACAACTCATTGAAGTGGGGTAGCAATTTTAGTGTTTTTTCTCAGTATCTCATAGAAATGTATGTCTGCTGTTTGCAGTGTCATGACAAAGGAACTATGGGTAAATAGAGTGAACTGTTTGGTGTTAGTAACCAAGCAGGATGCTTGAGAGGGGTTGGCTTCTGCCAAATGAAAGGATGGGCTGATGAAGGTTTAAAGAACTGAGACTTGTCGAGGTGTGCCTTACTGGTTATAACCAGATCCAGAAAACTTAAACAGGGTGAGAACGACTGTTGAAGGACTCTGGAAGCTTTGGTCTGGTGTAGTGCACAGAAGTGAACCTCTGCTAGAGAGCTTGGAATAATGTTGGCCATGCAGTCACTTGGAAGGTCTACACACACGCTATGTTGCTGCCCACTCCACTATCCCTCGATTCTAGAACAAAGAACATAGAACTGTACAGCACACGAATGGACTCTTCAGCCTGCAGTGTTGTGCTGAGTATGACGTCAAATGAAACTAATCCCATCTGCTGGTGCTTGGTCCATATCCCAACGTACGTTGCATATTTGTATGCTTATCTAAAGGTCTCTTAAATACTCTTATCGTATCTGCCTCCATCACCATTCCTGGCGGTATGTTCCAGACTCCTACCACTGTCTATAAAAAAAAACTTGTCGTTGCTTTGAACTTCCCCCTTTAACCTTAAATGCATGCCCCCTAATATTAGACATTTCAGTTCCTGGGGGGATAAAGCTTCTGACCGTCAACCCTATCTATGCATCTCATAATTTTATAGATTTCTATCAAGTCACCCCTCAGCTTCCACCACTCGGGAGAAAACAAACTGAGTTTTTCCAGTCTCTCCTTATAGCCCATACCCTCTAATCCAGGCAGCATCCTGGTAAACTTCTTCTGTACCCTCTCCAAAGCCTCCACATCCTTCCTGTAATGTGGCGATCAGAATTGAACACAATTCTCTTAATTGTAGCCTAACCAAAGTCTTATGAAGCTGCATCCTGACTCTTGTACTCAATTCTCTGACCAATAAAGGCAAGCATGCCATATGCCTTCTTTAGAACATAGAACATAGAACATTACAGCGCAGTACAGGCCCTTCGGCCCTCAATGTTGCGCCGACCTGTGAAACCCATCTGAAGCCCTTCTAACCTAAAATATTCCATTATCATCCATATGTTTATCCAATGACCATTTAAATGCCCTTAAAGTGGGCGAGTCTACTATTTTTGCAGGCAGGGCATTCCACACCCTTACTACTCTCTGAGTAAAGAACCTACCTCTGACATCTGTCCTATATCTATCACCCCTCAATTTAAAGCTACGTCCCCTCATGCTAGCCATCACCATCCGAGGAAAAAGGCTCCCACTGTCCACCCTATCTTTATCGCCCTATCTCCTTACCTGGCCACTTTCAGAGAGCTTTGGACTTGAACCCCAAGATCCCTCTGTATATCAAAGCTGTTCGGGTTCCTGCCATTAACTGTATACTTCTCCTTAACATTTGATCTCCCAAAACATAACATCTCTCACTCCATCTGCCATTTCTCTGCCCATATTTGAAACTGATCTATATCCGCCTATATCCTTTGACAGTCTGCTACACTATCCACGGCTCCACCGATCTTTCTATTGTATGCAAACTTACTAACCCACCCATCTACAGTTTCATCCAAGTCATTTTATATAAATCACAAACAGCAGAGGTCCGAGTACAGATCCCTGTGGAACACCACTCGTCACTGACCTCCAGCATGAAAAATACCCTTCCACCACTACCCTCTGTCTCCTATGGGCAAGCCTATTCTGAATCCATTTGGCCAAGTCACCGTGGATCCCATGCTTCTTAATCTTCTGGATGAGCCTACCATGAGGCACCTTGTCGAAATCATTACTGAAATCCATGTAAACAACATCCGCTGCTCTACTCTCATCGATCACTTTTGTCACCACCTCAAAATTTAATCAAGTTATTAAGACGTGACCTGCCCTGCGCAAAGCCGTGCTGAATGTCCCTAATCAGGCCATGCTTTTCCAAATGTGCATAAATACTATCCCTAAGAATTCTCTCCAGTAGCTCCATAACCAGTGATGTGGTCTGTAGTTTCTGGATTATCACGATTCCCCTTCTTGAACAGAGGAACAACATTAGCTACTTGCCAGTCCTCTGGGAGCTCTTCATTGGCTAGCAAGGATGCAAAGATCTTGGCCAACGCCCCAGCAATCTCTTCTCTTGCCTCTCTCAATGACCTGGGTTAGGTGCCATTGGACTGTGAGGACTATTCCACCTTAATGCTCTTCAGTAGACCTAACACCACTTCTTTCTTGATCTCAAAATGCCGTAGCATGCTCCACACAAATCTCACTATCCTCCATATCCTTTTCCTGGGTGAATACCGATATAATTTATTCATTTAGAATCTCACCCACATCCCCTGCTTCCAAGCACAAGTTCCCTCCTTTATCCTTGAGTGACCCTACCTTCTCCCTTGTTATCCTCTGGTTTTTAATAGGATGCCTTGGGATTCTCTTCAACCCTACTTGCCAGTGTCATTTCATGGCCCCTTCTTGCTTTCCTAATTCCCTGCTTGAGTTGTTCCTACTTTCCTTTATGTTCCTCACGGGCTCTGTCCGATTTTTAGCTTACTAAACCTTACATGTGTTTCTTTTTTTCCTGTTGATTAAATTCACAACCTCCTTTTATTGTCCAAGGATCCCTTACCTTGCCATCCTTGTCCTTCTTCCTTACTGGAACCTGCCAGTCTTGAACTCTCCCCAGCAGTTCTTTAAACAGTTCCAACATATCAAATGTGGACTGATAACAGCTCCTCCCAATTAACACTCCCTAGCTTGTGCCTGATACTGATGCAGTTTGCTCTCCCCCAGTTTAATACCGTCTTGCAAGGTCCTGACTTATCTTGTTCATAACTATTTAAAACTTTAAGGAGTCGCGATCACTGTTTCTGAGAGATAAAAACCTTGTCTTTCCCATCCTTGCCTCATGGAGATGGAGCATCCATAGTTTCCTAGGCGACAAAATTTTAAATATTTACCACCAATTTTTAAAATATTTCTTACCAATGAAGAAATGTGACCTCATTTCAGAACTAAATGGTTGGCACTTTGTCCTAACAGAATGCCCCTATGTTTTATATTCTGTGACCAGTGAAAATAATCTCTTGACATTTAGCCTGTCAAGCTTGTTCAAATCTTGTGTGGCTCAATGAGATTGCCTTTTGTTTTACTAAATCCCTGAGAATGCTGACTCAAATTGCACAATTTCTCATCGGAGGTGTTATTTCAAAGATTAATTTGATGAACTTTTACTTCCTCTGATTATTTCTTTTCTTAAATGTGGGGACCAAAACTGCACATAGTACTCCAGTTGCGGCCTCACCAATACCATTGTGCAATTTTAGCAACTCTTTATTTTTGAAGTCCATTTCCTTTTCAGAAAAGGTTACACAATTTAAAAAAAAACTCCAGGAAGTAGCCCTTTTTGTACTCTCCATTCACTCAGTCGCTCATTCTCTCTCGCATTCTGTCTCTTCTGTCTCACTCTCTCTCCTCTTAGACTCTGCACTCACTAAATCATTCACTTGCCTCTCGATCTCTCTCACGCATATACATTGCTGTCACTCTCACTCACTCTCACACTGCTCTCAGTAACTCACTCTTCACTTCCTCAGTCACTCTCCTCACTCTCTTCTCATTCCCCACTGACACTCCTCACTCTTACCTATCCCCCTCACACTCATTCTCGACTAACTCCCCCCATTCTCTCATATACTCTTACTCACTTGCCACCGTCTCTCCTCACTCTCATTCACTCTCTCTCGTCTTGGTCACTCTCCGCTCACTCTCTTCATTCACTCACTCATTCTCCCCTCCCTATCACTCCTTTCTTCTCTCATTCACTCCATGCTGTCTTCACTCACCCACTCAGTCTCCACACTCTCCCCACCAAACCACATTCTTTGTCGCCACACACTTTCTTTCTATTCTTCCTTGCTCTCGCTCTAGCTCCTGCTCGCAGACTCAAAAGAGCAGACCGCCAGTAAAATGAGCAAATTGCAAGTTTTAAATGTAACCAAACAAATTTCATTATAATCAAAGCAGAAGTTGCTGGAAAAGTTCGGCAGGTCTGACAGCATCTGTCGAGAGAAATCAAAGCTAACATTCTGACTGCTTGACCAGAATGTTAACTTTGATTTCTCTCCACAGATGCTGCCAGACCTGCTGAGCTCTTCCAGCAATTTCTGTTTTTGTTTCTGATTTACTGCATCCATAATTCTTTCAGTTCAAATGCAGTTTGATTTTTGTTGTATTCATCCCTCCCTCTCTTCAGTTTCAGTTCTATATGTGGAGACCATAAATAAAGGAGAACATGCGAAGTTTGCTGTGCCTTTCAATGGAATCATAGCTGATCAGATAATCCTCAACTGCCTCCCCGTGATTCCCTTAATAATTAAACACTGGTCTATCTCCACAGCTGTCTGTGGTGAATAATTCCACTGATTAACTGCTCACTGTGAGAAGAAATTCCTTCTCATCTTTGTCTTAACTGGGCAACTGTGTACTCTGAGGTTAACGCTTCCGTGTCTGGACCCTCCCACAAGGATACACAACCTTTCTGCAGCTACTGTGTAAAGTCCCTGAAGAATCTTCGATGTTTCAATAAGGTCACCTCTCATTTTTCTAAATTCTGAAGAGTACAAGCCCAACCTACTCCATCACTCTTTATAAGACCGGCCCTCCTCACTCAGCATCAGCCTAGTGAACCTTCTCTGGACTGCCTGCAATGCCAGTATATTTTTACCTGGATCAGGTATCCAGAACTGTTCCACAGTATTCCAACTGTCATCTGACTAGTGTCTATTGTAGTTTCAGCCAGCCCTCCCTATTATTATACTCCATTTCCAAGGGAATAGAGGCCATTGTGGGGACAGGCAATAAATGCTAGCCAGCCAGTGACACCCACATCCCACAAAAGAATGAAAAAACAACATTCCATTTACCTTCCCTATCACCTGCTAAACTTGCATGCTAGCTTTTTCTGATTAATGCACCAGGGCCCCCAAATCTCTCTGTGCTTCAGCTTTCTGCAGTTTTTCCTCACTCAATTAATATTCAGTCCCTCCATTCTTCTTGCCAAAGTGCACAGTCTCATATCTTTCCTCATTGTATTCCATGTGCCAAGCCTTGTTTACTCACCTAACCTAGCTGTATTCCTCTGCGGTCATTTTGCATCAACCTTACTACTTGCCTTCCACCTCTTTTTGTGTCACCTGCAGACTTGGTGATAGTATGTTCACTTCTTTCGTCCGAGTTATTGATTATGTGTTGTGAATAATTGTGTAATGAAAGGACACATTGACAATATCTCTCTCCCAATCATTATTAGGATTTCTCTCTAAGGTTCAATGCTGTTAAAAGTTTTGTAAATTACTGAAACTTTTATTCAGGTTCTTGGCGAAACAAAATGTTGACAGCCAGTCATTTCATTGTTAGAGATTGAAGAGAATTTATGGAGTAATAAGGCGATACTTAACCAGGAAATAGTTCAGAGTTGCACAAAGGTTTTTTTTATTTTGCAGAGTAGCTCATGCACAGGTCAACACAAGTTCAGGTATAACTCCTTTCCTGTTTCGTCCATGTTTGTTTTTCAGTGATTCTGTGTATTGGAACATTTCAGACTACCCTCATTATCCCTGCCCTCTCAACCTGATATCCAGGGTTTCTTTGACCATAATTTGTCGAAAGCAATAGACTCTCACCATCCTTAACCCAATTAAAATAGTTAGTAGCCCATCACAGTTACACCAACAGACCATCAATAATCCATTCACAATCACATCAATAGACCGTGGATATTTACTGATAGTTATACCAACAGACCTGCAGTACTCAATCAAAAGCTACTTCCCGGAGAATAATGAACAAAGTTAGCAATTACTCGTGTACTAGCAGTTAACTCTTTGATTACCAAAAGTCCACATGAGCGTTCACAAAATGCAATATGTGAAATTCATAATAGTACCCGGAAAGACGCGCCAACCTATTTTTCTTTACTGAGGACGTTGTTACATTTCTCTATCATGTTAATCTTTTTATGTACAAGCACTTGATCATATTGAAGTATAAACTTTCCTGATCAGAATGTTTCACTCTGGTGTACCAAAAGTCAAATGAAGTAATATGAATAATTGTACAGATTTTTTGAAATTTGCACATTACTGTTACATATTTCTGTTTTTTTTTGATATTGAATTCTGAAGGTCAAAAAAAAAAGACACCAGCTTATAGTCCAACAGGTAATGGAAGAGCAGCGCTCCAGAAGGTTGTGATTTCAAATAAATCTCTTGGACTATAACCTGGTGTCGTGTGATTTCCAACTTCCAGATTCGATCTCTGTTTTATAAATGTTCATGTAAGAAGACATCACATTTCACAGGAAAGAACTGGTGCAAATCAGCTAAATCAGCCTTAAAGATTCAATATGAAGGGTTAATTTTTCTGGAGCTGTAACAAGATTTTGGGGAATAGATCGAAATTTTGTTTTGGTGGATACTTTAGATATTTTCTCTGTGACTTCCACATCTTGTTTTCACCTTTTGTGTAATAAACGTCTGTTCTATTGTTAAGGAAACGCTGCAATCATATGTGACTATGTTTCAATGAGTGACGACTGTGTTAACTGTGATAGTTGGCCAGATGTCAATCATGGATCTGAACTGTCTGGTAGTACCATCGGCTGAGACCATAATTTCAATAACGGTTCAACTACTCTTGAAGTACTTTTGCTGTAGATATGTACATTTAGTGTCCTTATTGTTCTATCATCTTTTAAGATGCTTCTGTTTCTTCTTAGTAATTTGAGTAATATAGAGCTATAGCAAGTTCAACACAATTTTGCAAGATTAACGTTAGACGTTTTCGGACCATTGAATTGACTGCTGGATGGCTCATCGAGTAAGGATCGTGAAGCCTTAGCGTGTAAGGACAGTTCATTGCGTGAATCACTGTCCTTTGACTTTTTCTCCAGGCCTAACTTTGACCTGAATGCCTTGCAAAACAGAAAGTAGATCACTGGATCAAAGCAGGCATTCAGGGTCGACAGAACGATGGCTGATTCTTTCAAGTGGTAAAGCGTCTTTTGCCAAAAACATCCTGAGATGACATTTATCTGACTCAAAATATAAGGAAGTCTTGCAGTGTGGTAAGGTACAAAACACACCAAGAAGACGGCGAGAAGGATTAGAATGTTGTTCTTCGCCTTGGCTTGCTTCTTGAGTGAGCTTGGAGATGGGGACTTATCGAGACGCTTTGCTGTTTGAAAGTAAAAGAAGCAAAGCCCTATGAGCACGCAGAGGAACAGAACAGTGCCCCCAGTGTGGAGACAGATGTGCCAGTAAATTCCTGAACCTTTTCTCGAGTCCAAGCACGTTGCTGTGGCTTTCGGACTGTTCTGGGATGACTTTTTCAGCGTCAGGAGCATGTAAGAAAATCCAAGGCTGAGAAGCACACCCCATGTTAGGCCGGCAATGACTTTTGCGGACTTCACTTTGTGAAACGCATATATCTTGAGCGGTTTTACAATTTTTAAGTATCGTGTGGCTGCAATATATCCCAGGAAGAGAATGCTCGAATACAGGTTCAAGTAGAATATACATGTTGTAAAACTGCAGTAGATTTTCCTCAGTGCTGCCGAGCCCACTTGATTCTCACCAACAATTCTCATTGGCAATGTCAGGACCAGCAAGAAATCGGCTATGACCAGGTTCTTTAAGTAGATGATGATGCTGTTGCTGCTGGGAATGTGACAGAAGTACACCCAGAAAGCTAGGCCATTGAGAATGATTCCCACAGTACATATTAACGAATAGGCAACCATTGTGAACATCGCCAAGGTGTTTGAGGATAGCTGGCATGTGGTGTTGCTAGAGGAGTTTGTCCTGGTGACATTATCAATGCCTGCTGTTGAGTCAGCCATCGATACATCTGAATGTTAAGGTAGAATGTATTAATTTTCTTGATGGAACTCAAACAACAGTTGACTAATAGATGCAAGGTTAGAGGTTCATTATCTTATTAAATAATTATTACATAAAGTTTTATACAGCTGTACAGCATGGAACCAGACCTTTCAGTCCAACCCATCAGTGCCTACCAGATATCCTAAATTGAATCCAGTCCCATTTGCCAGCATTTGGCCCACATCCCTCTAAACCCTTCCTATTCCTATACCCATCCAGATGCCTCTTAAATGCTGTAATTGTACCAGCCTCCACCACTTCCTCTGGCAGCTCATTCCATACATGTACCACCCTCTGCGTGAAAAAGTTACCCCTTAGGTCCCTTTTACATCATTTCCCCTCTCACCTTAAACCTATGCCCCTCTAGTTTTGGACTCTCCTACCCAAGGAAAAAGACTTTGGCTATTCACTCTATCCATGCCCCTCATGATTTTATAAACATCTATAAAAGTCACCCCTCCGCTTCCGACACTCCAGGGAAAATAACCCCGGTCTATTCAGTCTCTCCGTATATGTTAAACCCTCCAAACCTGGCATCACCCTTGTGAATCTTTTCCTGAATCCTTAAAGTTTCACAACATTTTTCCTGTAGCAAGGAGTTTGATAGCTTTTTGTTGACCATTTTTACATCATTTGTTGAACTCAACAGCAGCTCGTGACAGTGCAGATGTGCTTTGTGATAAGACAACCAGTATTTTTTTGAGTGAAAAGCATTTAAAACTACCCATCTTTAACGAGAAACTTCTGGTGTAACAAGTTCTGTAACATTGTCACAAACTAAAGGCAAAGTCACCATTATCTTAGCGGACTGTGGGTCTGCTCTGTCATTTAGTGAGACAACTGTTGGTGGTTTAACGTGAGGGCCATCACACCTCCGGTGAGGGGAGAGGATGAGGAGGAGTGTCAACTGGTGCAAGAATTGAACCCATACTGTTGGCATCACTTTGCTTAGCAAACCAGTGATCCAACTACCTGATCTAATCAACTGTGCAAGCCACCATTTGAAAACTTTGTGATTTCTTCTTCTTGTGTAGTACCCTTCTTAAATTCACAGAACTTCACAGCAAATGGAGGATTTCTGAAGTGTGGTCACTGATGTAATTTGGGAACAGTGAGAATAAAGCCTCACAAATGGCATTCTTTAAGACATTACCATTAATGCTCTGTTTCTGTTGCCTTGGAGTCTGGCAATTATAAATTGATGATGAAATTTTCTTTCTTATGAATCCGTAAATGTCACAAAATAACCAAGGGAAGTTCTATTGGTTTAGGTAATCGGCTTACGAACTAGGCTCATTTCCTGCTATCTCCTGATCATATTTTGGTTGAAAAGGAAGTACAAATATTGGAACTTTTAAACTGATAATGGCAATAACATGTGAATTTTGTTCATAATCTGTCCCTCTCCACATTTGGTCTCATTCATACGATAATGGCATTTGTTGATGTGTGCGAGGTTTCACCTCGAACACTAACTTGTTGTACGGCACTGATAAAACTGGTGGGTTTTTTTCCCCATCCAGCACATTGTGTTTATATCCTTGCTGTCTGATGTTGTATTTTGTCTGTGACTAAGTGATTCATTTTTGCATGAAAACAAAATGCTGCCAATGCTGGAAATCCGAAACAAGCACAGAGATTTACTGAAGAAACTCAGCAGGTCTGGCAACATCTGTGTAGAAGGAAACTAAGTTGACATTTCGAGGCTGGTATGAGTTGCCTTCACAATTGATTCTGAATCATTTTGCAGATATTTTTCAGTTTCAGAGGTTCACAGATGCAGGCTTTTCGATTCTGTGTGAGATAACAAGGCAGAAATTTGCAATGCATTTTAAATCGATTTAAGGATGGCAGATGTGCAATTAATCCCTTAAATTGAATAATTACAAAGGTGTCTCTGGTTGTCAACTCTTGTGCTGAGCTGTAGATTTCAAAAAATGGAAAGATTTCTTTTTGGGGTCAGTTGTTTAATAACATTTTCTCTCAAACATTGTAACATTCATTTACAGGGGTTTGGAGTTGCTGGGCTGGACCAGCAGACTTGATGTGCTGAATGACCTAATTCTGCTGCTACATCTTATGATCTTTTCTCCAGTTACCTTCTTGAGCAGCTGCTGTGCCCTAATATGTTTTTCTATCATTTCTGCTGTTCAAAGACTTAGTTTTGTTGAAAACAGTAGTCAGAATTTGTATTTATCTAACGCTTTTCGCTCACAAAATATTTCGCCGTAAGTGCTGGCCAAGATAATATGCTGAAGGCACTGTAGTAGTCTCTGGACTTGGTGACCATGCCTTGCTGTCTCTAATGCGATACTCCTTTCACTTAGTCAAGGTGGGACAAATCAATCATAAATTTCTCTACTATGGAGGGAAGCTTTTGTTCAAGGCGATTGCCTACTTAAACATTCCACAACTTTCTGACAACTGCAGTGCACCAAGAATTCTCTCGAGTGTTTCAGTAGTAAACAAATCTAAATGTCTTGATTCACCAAAACAGTGCAATGGTCACTGACACAGATAAAATGACTTTTAATCATGTCTTTGAATCATTACTTGGAAGAATATTTCCAGAGAGGCACAGAACAGGTTTTGAAGGAATAACTAGTCTCAACTTGACACTGCTGGCCACTCTGCGTGTTGTCCTACAGATAGAACAGAAAATTTGCCTACCTGAACTGATGTTTTTGTTGTGGTAAGTACCTCTCAATGCCTGAGGGATGAAGAGTTTCTTGCAGCGATGCTGGACTAGATGTCTCTGTGCAAATTTACTTTTAATCCTCATGACATTCTTGGTCAATTTGTGGTGTTCAGCATTTCCTCTAACCAGAAGTAGTGAGTATTGAAATGAAGTGCACTCGTTCATTTCAGCATTGTGACTTAAAGCAGTAGTGATATACAGCAGGAAATGGGTGTTAAATTTATAGATCTAACCAGGCAATACATGTTTTGTGTGTGTGTGCGTGCTTTTCACATCAGCTCTCAGTTTTAAATGTTTAGTTTTTAAAAGCAGAATTTGTACTTCTCTAAAACAAAAAACAGTTGATGCTGGAAATCTGAAACAAAAGCAGAAGTAGCTGAGGAAACTTAGCAGATCTGGCAGCATCTGTGGGAAGAAAACAGTTAATGTTTCAACTCCAGCGACCGTCCTTAGAACTTTTCACTTTATTTGTACTTTACCTGCTTTTTGGTGGATTTGAATTTTATACATTAATCTGTAATCTGAGCAATCTCAGTGAACCAACTGTTGGAGTTCTAGTCACCCTATAACAATGATAAGGAAACACTGGGGAAAGTACAAAAATAATTCTTGGTATTGAGAGGATATAACTAACAAAAACAGGAATTACTTCTGAGATTGACATGAGGAACTGTAATGACCATTCTGACCTTTGTCCATCAGCTGACTTTACCTTCTTACCAATAGCTAAGGTCCTTGCTTTCCATTTTTCCAGGATCGAATTCAAGTGGCAACATATATCTGGAAAGTAAGGAAGCCATTCTTTCTACAACCAGATTTGTAAATATATCTTAAAGATAATATCTTCATTGCAATGTGATGAACAAAAGAGGTTTAAGCAAAACACCAGGAATGTTCCCATATGCAACAACAGATGGAAGTATTATGGCTCAGTAGAGAATTTGAAAATGAATCTTGGTTTAATAATCCAAAACAAATTAAAGCAGAATATACAAAATAGAATGTTACTTCTTCACTAGGAAGAGTGCAGTTGTAATTGTACGCCACTGTTCCACAAGTCTTCACAAAATCTGTAAAATCCAAATATGACTATGAAAGTTACCAACTTGCTCAACTGACTGCTACTAATGACAAAAGCAGTTTGCTTCAGTAAGAGAAAAAATTTTCTTTATTGTGACACATCTTAGAAGAGCAGTGAAAGGAAAGGATTTTTAATTTATGCAACTTAAACAACACCCCTTCAAAATGCCGAGAGACAGACACAGAGAGACAGACACAGAGAGACAGACACAGAGAG